CTAGTGCCTACACAGAGCCTTCACCACTACTGACTAGTGTTCATGATACTAGAAATTACTTCACATGGTGCCAAAGGAGAAACATAGACATAAAACCAGGTACAAACCCTTTGATTTATAATTGCGAATTTTTGAGTTAATCTTGTATCCTGCTACATTACTGTAAGTGTTTATGAGTTGTAGAAGTCCCTTGGTAGAATTTTCGGGATTGCTTATGTAAACTATCATATCATCAGCAAAGAGTGAGAGTTTGACTTTTTCTTTTCTGATTTACATCCTATTGATCTCCTTTTGTTGTCTTATTGTTCTAGCTAGGACCTCAAGAACTATATTGAATGGATATGGAAAAAGTGGATAACCTTGTCTTGTTCCTGATTTCAGTGGGATTGCTGGAAGATTCTCTCCAATTAGTTTGATGTTGGTTGTTGGCTTTCTGTATATTGTTTTTATTATGTTTAAGTATGTTCCTTGTATCCCTGCTCTGTCCAAGATCTTTATCATGAAGGGATTTTTTTTTTGTTGAAAGCTTTTTCAGCATCTAATGAGATGATCATGTGGTTTTTATTTTTCAGTTTGTTTATATGATGGATTACATTGACAGATTTTCGTGTGTTGAACCATCCCTGCATCTCTGGGATGAAGCCAACTTCATCATGGTGGATAATGTTCCTGATGTGTTCTTGGATTTGATTTGCCAGTATTTTATTGAGTATTTTTGCATCAGTATTCATGAGTGAGAATGGTCTGTAATTCTCTTTCTTAGTAATGCATTTCTGTGGTTTGGGTATCAGGGTAATTGTAGCCTCTATTGAGGTTTGTTTTGTTACCTAGTATGTGGTCAAATTTTGAGAAGGTTCCATGAGGTTTTGAAAAGAATTTAAAACCATTCTTAAGGCCAGATCCAGGCCCAGCAGTAGATGGCCAACACAAAATGAATTTAATGGTAGTTTTAGAAGGTTTTTTTTTTTGTGTCATAATACTTCTCTTGAGCATTTTGTATTTTTCACTTATATTTGTCATTTGTTTATATATTATGATTTCCTATTGTGGTGTTTTTATGGGATTTCTGTGCGTTCCAATCTGTATATCCATGCTTCTATATATGTTTTTTGTACTCTTTTCTTTGGCTCTTTGTTTTTCTGCTTGTTTGTTTATATTGTCCTGTACAGGATTGTTTGGTTTTATCTTATTTATTATTATTATGTTTATTATTAATATTGTTACTTGTTTGTTTTCTGATAAGAGAAAGCAAGAAAGGATTTGAATTTGGGTGGGTGGGTGGGTGGGTAGGAGAAAGAGAATCTGGGAAGAATTGAGGGAGGGGCAACCATAATCAGAATATTTTATATGAAAAAAAATCTATTTTCAGTAAAAAATAAAATTAAATGAAAGTTAAATAAAATTTAATAAAGAAGGCTGATGTTGTAGAAGGAGAAGTAAGTAGATGCTGTGGAGTTGACAGAAGATGAGAGAGTGCTGGCGATCGGGCACAGAGTGCTGTCGGAAGGACTAAGTCTTTGTGTGGTCATAGTGGGGTGACTGTGGTTAGCAGTGCTGTAGCTGTATTAAATGCTGCACAATATCTGGATGAGATGATTTTGGATGCCCCAATCATAGAGATATATGTATGAAGTGATAAATATACTAATTTAGCTGACGTGCTTGTTATAGAATGCATACATATTAAAAAATCTCACTGTAGTCTATATATGTCATTATTATGTTGATTAAAGCAAAATAAAAATAATAAAGCAAAATAAGAATAATTTTTGTTTTAGCTTGCTTTCTATTGCTGTGATAAAAAAATTGTAATCAAAAGCACCTTGGGTAGGAAAGGGCCTCTCTGGCTCACAGTTCCATGTCATAGTCTATTGAATGAACTCAAAGCAGGAATCCAAGCAGGAACCTGGAGGCAGGAGCTGAAGCAGAGAGAGACCACAGAGGAACACTGCTTACTGGCTTGTTCCCTGTGGCTCGCTCAGCCTTCTTCCTTATGGTATGGTGCCACCCTCTCACTTTAATCATTAATTAAGAAAATGCTCCACAAGTTGGCCTACGAGCCATTCTGATGGAGTCATTTTCTTAGTTGGGGTTCCTTCTCCCTAGATATTTTCTGTCTTGTGTTAAGTTGATAAACCTAGCTAGCACAATTCTTCCATTTCACTTAAAAAATAGGTCTTGGGGGGTCTCACCTGGGATGGTGGAAACCCAGTACTTCTATGGAAATTTAAGGGGCTTTGATAACTTGAGTCTGTAGGTCGGGGGCTCTGGGTGCCGCCACAGTTACAGAGCACCACGTCAGAGTCCTCGGAGAGCTATCTGCTGGCAGTATTGTCCTCACTCTGGAGCATAGTGAAGAGGCTGACCTCATGCCTTTTTGCATCTTTCTCAGGGGCCTAAGCCCTAACTTGTATCATGTCTGTGCTTCAGGGTCAGGCTGCCAAATGGACAGACCAAAGTCCTGGCTAGACTAGAACACAGGCGACTGCAGGCTTACCTGTTTGTCTGCTTTGCCTATCTCTGAAATGGCCTGTAGGATCCTCCTCTGGGCACCACAGTGTTCTTCTTTGGATCATTAAGAACCTGGCTCTCTGGACTTCCATGTGCCAGCTTCTTGGACCCAAGAAGGCCATTGCATAGGAATCGTGTCTTTCGAGTCTCTTTTTATTGATGAGCAAGGTGAAGAGTGGAAAGGAGAAATGCTTTGCCTGGGAGTTTAAGGATCTCTTAGAATTTCCAGGAGGGCCTACTCTTGGGCATCTCTCTGTGGTAGTCCTGGGACTACTCCTGCTACAGTGAAGCTGAGAGTAGACTTACTGGTAAGTCTGTCTTCCTGTCAGGATAGGGAGCTGAGGGCCTCTATACCAGCATCCTTGACACCTGCTCATGTAGAACTGTTTGTGTGACAGCCAGAAGGAGGCATTTCCAGAGAAGCACCAGGAAATAAAACCTGTCTAGTTAGCACTACACAATGACTGGAGTCTCAGTGACCCACAGGGCATGGGGACAGTGGCCTTGTGGGACTAGATGAGGTACTTAGAATCCTCTGGAGGATCTGCCCCTGGGATCAGGAATGTAAGGATAAGGCAGTGTCCTAGGGTTTCTCTTGCTGTGATGAAACATCATGACCAGAAAACAAGTCAGGGAGGAAAGGGTTCGACTTATACGTCAACATTGCTGTTCATCATTGAAGGGAAACAAGATAGGAACTCATACAGGGTAGAATCCTGAAGGCAGGAGCTGATGCAGAGGCCTTGGAGGGGAGCTACTTATTGTCTTTCTTTCCATGGCTTGCTCAACCTGCTTTCTTACAGAACCCAGGATCACCAGCCCAGGGATGGCACCACCTACCATGGGCTGGACCTTCCCACATTGATCACTAATTGAGAAAATATCATACACCTGGATCTCTTGGAGGCATTCTTCAACTGGGGCTCCCTCCTCTGATGACTGTAGCTTGTTGTAGTGATATTTCATTTGTATTTTAATAAATAGAGTTTGCCTGAAGGTCATAGAGTAAAACAGTCACACTGATCAGCCTTACAGACCAGGCAGTGGTGACACACACCTTTAATCCCAGTAGCCACACTAGTTTGCCATAGAAACCAGGCAATAGCGGTGCACACCTTTAATCCTAGCCCAGAGAGAGGAATATATGACAGGAGGAGAAAGCTCTCAGAGAGTCTTATTCTGGGATTCCTGGAGGCAGGATTGCCATTTCAGACTGAGGTAGAGGTAAGAGTCAGTGGCTGGCTGTGTGTTTTGATTTTCTGACCTCAAGGCTGACCTTCAATATCTCTTTTTGGGTGTTTATTAATGAAGTTGACACCCAAAACCAACCAGCACAAGGAGGTAATGGAAGCATTCTAGGGTAGCAAAATAACTTTTCTATGTGTTCACAATTTAGGTTACAAGTGACAGAGATGAAACATGAAGTGGCTTAGGAAGCAAAGGGAACTCTTGGGAAGTCCAGGAGACAGTGCCAGACACAGATAGACCTCAAGACTTGAATAGCATCAACATAGGAGTGTCCCCGGCTTATACCTGGTTGCTTCTGTATTGGTTCCATTCTTGGGCAGTGTCCCTTGGGGGAAGTTGGGATGGCTTGTGCATAGCTGTTGCTTTGTGTTTATTAGAGTCGTACTTAACAACGACAACAACAAAAACAAAGAAACAGCTCCTGGCCCCTCACAGTGGTAGGTCAGTGAGTGTGTGTCATCCTTCTGGGCTCCAGGATCCAGGACTCCTACCCTCAGGTAGTTGATTCAGTTGAGTTATCTTGTAGATAGATGTTCCTTCCTAGTGCTGGGGAAAGTCTCAGTGAAGGACCTTGGCCATCAGTTCATCTCTGAATCAGTTGGAATATGAGCTTCTGAGATTGGATTTGGGATGAGTCACCTCTTGGTACAAAGCAAGAGGAAGGAAGTTCTAGGCAGAAAATCAGATCCTGAAGCCAAGACAAGGCCTGTGGTATCGGCTAGGGGTCATCACATGAGATGTTGACATTCAGAGGATTAGAGTGTGCGACCCAGAGTTAGAATGGCCCATCCCAAGGCTGGGTCAGGTCTCTTCAGGGTAGTCAGTAGTCTTATCTGTCTCTAGAGGGTCAAGAAACCTCTGATGTGAGGTACAGAGGGAGATGGGGAAACCCGAGGCAGGGTCACCAGCCCATGTAGCCTGGAGGACAGAACGGCCAGAATTGAGACTACACATGAGAAAAGAAAAGGATTACAAAGGGTTGTTTCTGTCATAGTACCTTTCAGATGGAAGAAAGGATTCCTAGTGCTAGATGATAACCACTCCATACCCTAGGGCTGGATGCTGATGAGGATGTTGGGTCTAAATTGCTCTCTTGCAGCCTGCTCTGAATGAGTGAAGTAGACAGGAGCCCCGTTTCTGCTGGTGGCTGCCTGGGTTGGGAGCTTTGGGGTTAGTTACCCTCCCGGCTAGATCCCTTCCCATTTAAAGATGGTTCTTCCTTCCTCTTCTCCCATGCTCAGATATCCGTGGGCTCCAAAGCTTTCTGGACCAGGCCTCACGGCTGGGCCTCGACGTCTCTTTACAAAAGGTGGACAAGAATATCAGTCACGTGTTCACCAGTCTCTTCACCACCATGAAGACAGAGGAGCTGAACCGCTACCGGGACACGCTGCGCCGTGCCATCTTACTGCTTAGCCCACAAGGGGCCCACTCCTTCATCAATGAGGTAGGTCACGGGAGCTGAGGCCGCTCATGCCTGGTGTCCAGGGCTGCTGAATGGCTCAGGTGTATAAGAGAAACAAACAGGGGACATATGAGCGCTCAGTCCCCACTACCTGACTATACAGAGAGAAGCCTCAACACGATTTGGATACTGATGGGTCCCTAACAGGTGACCCATGTTCTTCTCTGACTCAGAAGAGGCTATGGGACAGGTGGGAAGCCTGCTTGTAAGTTACTGCCTGGATTTTCCAAGTTGAAACCCAGATGTTTTTCCTAGTAGTTTTCTTTTCTTGGTTGCATCCACCTGTAGGGATAAATTGAGTTTCTAGCTCTCTGGAGAAGTGGGCAGGTTTGCCGTGGGATTTGTTGACGTTCGGTGGAGGTGTCTGTGGCGTACCAAGTGATGCCTGGGGTGAGCGAGCGTCTTCTTTGGCGCTTGTGCTGATTGATGTGTGTTCCTTTTAAAAACACCTCTATTAGGGATCCGGACTTCCACAGGAAGGCAAGGGAGGGCCTCCAATTTCGCAAAGAATCCATTAATTTGAGATCAGACTAGAAAACTGAGCTAGAAGCGCTGGCTGGGACTGGTTCCAGGGGTCTCATGGCACAGAGATGGTAAACAGAGAGTGGCTGTCACTCCCTGGGCCTGAGTTGGTTTGAGGGAAGAACTAGCTATGGGTGTGGTGTGTCTGGGAACGAGTGAGGGGGCCCAATGGACCATAGGAGTATAGAACAGTGGATGCTCCCTGGGGTTTCCCTCCTGACCCAAGCCACCTTGCCAGCCTACTCTGATTGCAGGTAAAATGAAAGAGAAAGGCTGAATTATACCGATTTCATCTGATGTACTATGCTTCCTTATTCTGCTTCTCCCCTCTAATTAATTATCATTCAGGATGCTACCTCATGCACCAGGAACCAGCACGAAGCCCACTGCTGGAGAGCCTAACACTGGGAACGCTTAATTTGGTGTGAGTTGGCCAGCAGCCCTGACGCTCTCAGCTAATCAGGCCCGGATCATGCTGGTGGTCAGCCAGGCTGTGCTGTCCTGTGGGTTCTCAGTGTCCTCAGCAGATCTCTCTTTCCTGTATGCAGTGATTCGGCCTCGGATTAGCGGTGCTGACATGACCGGCCTTTCTCAGAATGCTCCCAGTGGTGTGTTTGCAGAGGGTGGCTCACAGGGTGACTTTTCTCTCTGTTTACTGCCAGACTTGGATCCGTCTGCCCTGGGGAGAGTCTCCACGGTTTTTTTGTCACCAGCTTCCCAGCTTCTCACTTTGTTCTAATTCCTTGGCCTTTCTGCTCATCTCCTTCCCTCTCTGCCATTGATCTTCTGGGATGCTTGGGAGAGGAAAGAAAATGGGTCTTGCAGTTCCACAGATTCTGGTCCAGTCTCTGCTCCACTTCCTGTCTGTGTGATGTTGATCAATTTGTTTGATCTTTATAGACTCAGTTGCTGCAGCTGGTAAGATCGCAGTGCTGAGAAACATTTGGCTGTGCATACACATGCATATTTTCCATCTACACGAATCTAGGCCTTTCTTGTTTCTCAGTCCCCGAAGGATTTACACACGGCCACAACTGGCCTAAATGTGTTATTTCCAAGTGAGTAATTATCCAGACTCCTGTGGTGCGGTGTGCACTGTGCTTGGCTTTAGCCGGCTGCCTTTTCTAATTCTCCAGACTGTGTGTTCGCACTCTGGGTGTTTGGGGGCGTGGATACAATGGAGTGGCTCCTTCCCTTGTCAGGCAGCTCTGACTGGAGTGGTGTCAGGAGACTGTGTGTGAAGACAGTCTCTGAATTCGGATTAGAAAACATACCACCTCTGCCTTTCTTTAAGTGCCTTATAAAGCCCTAGTCTCTGGTTCCCGGCCATGCCACTGGAAATAGAGGAAGCCATCCTTTCCTGGTGCCCATGTGGGTCTGGCCCTTGGTGCTCACTTCCTCCTCAGCACCTGTTTCAGTTGTGATTTTAACAGTTGTTAAGTGATCTGCATCAAGCCATTGTTATTAAGAGGCAGAATGGAATTCTAGTCCGGGCTTGGCCTGTTCCAGAGTCTTCTCTCCTCCACTGCTGGTGACTTCAGAGGACACAGTGTGTTACACTTCCTGTCAAAGATGCATGCAGTTGTTGCCAGCATCGGGGAGGAAGATATGCTTCGGGGTTGTTCCAGGCCTCATTCTAGGAGTCTTAGTGTGTCTATCAGGCATAGATGGGAAAAGGATCTAGAGTCTGGAGAACACTTCTGTCCAGCTGTCTAGTCCTGCAAGTCTCCTAAAAGACGGGGAGCTCCATCTTTGTCATTGCCTGGGGACATTGCTTGAGCTCCTCAGGCAGACTGACCCACTTTCCTCTTTGTTAGGACAGGATGGATGATTCTCACGAGGGTGACCCCCTTTCTGAATCTTATGATATTCAGAGCACTGTCTAGAGGAGTGAGAGGCCACTGCCGTGTGGATTGGGAGGCACAGAGGAGCTGTGGGGCCGTGGAGGTTGTGCAGCCTTCCCAGCTGCCGTGTCTTATTTCTCCCTTTTAGAAAGCATGGCTCGGGGAGTGGGTAAACAAAGTCAGCCCTGCTGGAGACTTGCCTTCCTCTAAGTGTGAGTCTGCTGATGTGCTTGACGCTTTCATTGTTGTTAGTACCGAGCCTTGCGCACCATGACCTGCTAGGCTGCCAGTGAACCATGTTAGAAACTGTCTTTCTGAGTAGTAACCCTGCTGAAGCAGTTCACTGCCCTCAGCCCTTGGCCTGCGGGTTATATGGTACCACTGGATTATCTGTGATTTAACATCATGAGGCACAGTGTTGCCTGGGGCTAGCAGGTTTCCAAACTCTGGTCTTGGTGATTTGTGGGAGGGTGGGTTGTAGGAGACCGCCCTCTTGGTGCTTGCCTGGGTCCCTGTGGACTCATGGTCCCACTGCTGTCCACGACTCAGTCTTTTTTATTTTATTTTAATTTTTTCTATTTAAATAACATTTTTTTCCTTTGCTTTACATACCAACCAGTTTCCCCTCCCTCCTCACCTCCTGTCCCCTCCACTTTCTACCCACTCCCCATCCACTCCTTCTCCATCTCCATTCAGAAAGGGACAGGCCTCCTATGGGTTTGCACAAAGCAGGGCACGTCAAGTTGAGGCAGGACCAAGATCCTCCCCTTACATCGAGGCGGGGCCAGGTAATCCAGCACGAGGGAAGAGGTTACCCACACCCAGCTAAGTGCCAGGGAGAGGTCCTGCTCTCACTTAATAGTGAGAAGCCTTACTAAGAGACCAAGCTACACAACTGCATGACTCATTCTGAATTTCACATTTTCTTCACGATGTTGACACAGTATCTTTAAAAGGTAGCGAGAGGGCTGGGTTTATGGCTCCGTATAGGACAGTTGGCTAGCATGTACAAAGATTTAGGTTTCCCCTGACATCATAATAAAACAGAAACAACAGCAAAGTAGGGTGGCCAGAAGCACCCCTGGAGTATCTGAGCTTGGAGGAGAATCTCCCACCCTCATGCTGCCTGGAACAGCTGAGCTTGGAGGGATTACATTCCTGGTATTCTGGTCCCAGGTCTGTGATCGCCACACAGATGTCCTTGTGGCTTGCTGAATAGTTTCTCCCTCTGGCAGGACGTGCTCTGTTTTGTTCTTGGCCTCAGAGGGAGGGAAGGAAGAGGGAGGCAGGGAGACTCCTTGCAGTCACCTTACCTGGAAGTGGGCTGGGCTCACTGTCTCTCCAGTTTGGTTTTGGCACTGGCTGGCGGATGACTTTAGCGGGCTGTGAGTTTGTCTGTGATGTCATCGTCACTCAAGCCTGTCAGCTGGCTCACCAGATGGGGAGGTGGGCATGGGTCTTTCTACTTCACTCCAGAGCCTTGGGAACTCAAGCAATGAAGTCTGAAACTGCAGAGGAGGGCTAAGATCAGGGCCTTGCTCTGGAGAGCCTGCTCAGCGGCAGCTTCTCTAGCTGTCTTCTCACACATTCCATCTGGCGCGTTTGCAGGTTTAATGAGCCCCAGCACTGTGGCTGGCTTCCTGCTTCCATGGGGCTTCCAGCTTGGTCAGCGAAGATGGAGATATGAAAAAGTCCTGTTATCCATAGTGGCAGAAGGGATGGAGCAGTACCTTGTGGCCAGGGAGACAGATAATGACAGTGTCCGGGAGGCTTCCTGAGTGTAACAATAACAAGGCTAGGCCTAGAAGAATGAGCTGGCACTAACTGAATGGATACAGAGAGGCAAGTGACCAGAAATGGCTGACACTGAGGCTAAGCTGATGGTAGGAAAGACTCCTGAGTCAGATCAGGGAATCAGCTTTAGGCAGGATCAGTTGGTGCGGGTGGGGTTGCAGTTACAGGTCTTAGAGGCTAATGGTCCACAGTCTTCCTGTCTTCATCCCTCTCCAGGTAGTGTTTGATGGGGGAGACCAGCTGTCCACTGACAGTTGGCTCTTCACTGGATGTATGTGTCCCATTTGTCACTGTCTGTCTGTCACCTAATCCCTACATCTAGCCAATCACCTGTGGACCCAACCAGTACTGTCTGGTGGTTCCTGTGGATCAAGGACCATATTAAATACCAGGATACAGGAACTAGCCTTCTCTCTGAGGCCAACTGGACCACGTACTACAGAGCATCCTCAGAAGCTAGTGGAGAGGGGGTGACCCAGGGCTCCCTCCCACTGAGGCTTCTGCTGGCTGTGTATGAGCTCTCAGATTTACTTTTTCACCTTGTCCTTGTTGGGAGCCTGCTTCTAGCTTTCCACAGTCCCCTATCTCCTTTGCTTCTTCTGTATTTTCTTCTCTTTTCTTTCCATCTGCGATGTCTAGTTAGAAATGAGAGCCTAGCCAAACGCTCTGTAAAGGACAGCTGATTGCTCCTCGTTCACAGTGGCAGGTGCTGCGTTCCCTCCCCCACTGTCCCATGAAAATCGGGCTTTCTTTCCATTCTACTGGGATGGAAAACCATGGGTTGGGGCTATGTAACTTTCCCTCTTTTCTCATTTGAGAGCC